AGTTAGATAAAAAATGCGACCATAGCTCAGCAACTCTTCATTTCGGCTAAACAAAAAGAAATCGTTTAAAAAATATTGTTTATATACCTTTTCAAAATTTCACCGTTTCAAAACCAAAAAATTTAGAAATTAGGATGTTCCAACTGATCCATCGCGATCAATCCTAAAATTTGCTAAAAGTTTTTGGACATTTTCAATCTCTGTTTTTCAATCGATTATTCATTTCAATTAACACCATAACTGTGTCGATCATTTGCTGATTCCAATTTTTCGCATTTTCAAAACGTATTAATTTTCAAACAATTTTTGGAATGAATGTTTCGATCCACTCTGTCTTTTTATCACATCACAACTAACAATAAGATTTTTAAAAAATCTAGAAGATTTTCTACATTTCATATTGAGTGGGACGCGAATAATTGAAAAAAAAGCAAATCACAACCTCGCCAAATGATCAATAATTGCTGTTGATAATTTAAAATTAGGTTAACACTTTGAAGAAATTGAGAATGTTTTGAATTCAAAGTATGAGTTTTTTTCCAAAAAATTGATGTTGCAGCAGCACACTGATAGACTTTGAAGGTTACAGTAGTCTTCGGAGAAACTAAAAGGTGTAAACACCAACAAGCAAAAATGCACGCACTATCTCTCCTGTATACACTCCTTCAACACTAAACCAAAATACCCAACGAGAGCCGAAATTTTTACAGTGTCATAATATTGAGAATTCTCTTTCGTTTTTTCCGTCTTTCACTCACATTTTGATTTAACATTTTTCACCCACCATACAACGGCCCATTCTCCCGGGGTACATCAGTATGGGGTACATCGTGCTCATGGGGTACAAAGTCTCAGAGGGTACATAGTCTCATGGGGTACATTTTAGGTATAATCTCATGGGGTACATTTTTCGCTTTCTCATGGGGTAAATCTCTGAAATACTCAGGGGGTACATCGCATTGTCTCAGAGGGTACATCGCATTGAATCTCATGTGGTAAACATCAAGTCGGATTCTACAGTTTCAGCGCTCATAGCTGCCTGATTTTTCCAACATTCGTTACATATTATGAGTGGTTTTTTTTGTTTTCCATGTAGTTATTCAAGAATGTAATTTCGCTTTTGATGTGGTTTGGAACAGAGATAACTGTCCAACATTATTTCTTCTCATTCATAATTCAGAAACATTTGGCTGATTGAAGAAAAATTGCCTATTGCAAGATATTCGGAGATTTCCGATGACCGAGGAGTTAGACGAAGCAACCAGGTGCCAGCTCAGTCAATCAAAGCTACCACAACGAAACGTTTTACACTTTCAGTGCTCTTGAGAAATGATGAGAAATCGTAAACATAGTGATAAGGAAAACATGTTCTTTATTTTTACCCTAACCGGGCATTAAATCATATAACATGAATTAGTTTCACAAAAAAAAATTGGGAGGGCAAAAATGAAAAAAAAAATCATTTTTAGTTACTGAAGAGGTTCTTCGAGTCTTCCAATTTTCAGAAATCCAGCGAATCGTCTTCACGTTGATTTGTGGGCGATGAGTGGATTCAGTTGATGGAGGAAGATCATCATCCAGAACATCCAGCAGCAAACAGCGGTCATGACGATCATCGATTGGATGATTCCTCTGTTAGGTCCCTTCAGCACAATCCATGGTCCTCCGAATCCAATGGCATCCTAGGTGGCGGAGACAGAGACGAGTAGAATGAAGAATCCGATCTGAAACTCACACTTGAGTAATTAATTTGTTTGATTTTAAGAGGGAGTACACAATTTCCAAAAATTTTGAGATTTTATTACCACTCGATGCGAAATTAGGGCGCGGGAAGAAAATTCTTAAGAACCATTGTCCAAAAATGCCTTTTTTTCGATAAACGGGTCAAAAACAGGCAAAAAAATCAACTGAGATGGTGCAAATAAGCTATTTCTGGGGACGCATGAATCCTTAAGGGTGCACGTGAAAAATTGCACTCTCAGTTGACTTTTTTGCGCTGTTTTTGACCCATATTTTAAAAAATGAGGCTTTTTTGTACAATGGTCCAAGATATTTTTTCTCCTAATTCTGCATTGAATGTTACCGAAATCTCAAAAATCCCAATTTGTGTTCTACCCTTTTAAACAAGTATTTGAAAATGCATAAAAACTTACTTTTTTTTTTAAATCGAAGATTTTGTTGTTGGAAGATCATCGGGCTGTGCGGAGGAAGGCTTCTGAAAAAAAGGATACTGATTTCGTGTCGGAAGGATGAAAACAATGCAAAATTACGACGGAAAGAATAAAATCTAAGATTTTAAAACTGGAACAGCGAGGAAAAAAAATTTGAGCTATAAAAGCAGCAGATACGTTCATATTTCGTCATTAAAAATTTACAACAAGAAAATCAGTTCAATTTTTTTTAAATTGATAAAATCGTAAAAAATCGATAAAATCGTTAAAAAATTGATAAAATCGTGAAAAAATTGATTGATAGCGTTCGCGGCCTAAAATTCACATGCATTAACGTATGATACTCACTAGGGAATGACTCACAGAAGATGTGGAGTTATGGGACGAGACCTATATCATTCGAAAGAGGATGAAATTTCATTTTCAAATATATGCTCAGTTTTTGCGGCGGCCTCCGCTAACTCGAGAAATTTAGGTCAGAAGTTTTCAGTAGATTTTGCACTGAAATGCATACGTGAACGCTCCACGTCCTCATTTCTTTTATACGCTTTGAAGAACCATTGAAAACAGCAGTGGGATGGTTCAGTGGTAAAGCGGCGGGATGGGGAAATGGTACTCTATGGTTCGACTCCTTCATAGTCGAAACTCTTTTTTTATTTTTTGTTGGTTTTTTATATGACCTGTTTTTGAGCTCAAAAGCTGTTTTCAGCAGTTTTCCATACTCTAAACACCTTTGGCATCTTGTCAAATACAAATTAACCAAGTTTTTGGAAAAAAAATTTCTGAAGAAAATTCGCATGTTTTCATGATCCATACACCTCTTTTCAAATTTTCAAAAAAAAAATTTTTTGAAACACAAAGAAATCTATATTTATTATTATAACGATTATTATTATGTCTCGCTTTTATAGACGGGCGGCGAACGGGCGGCAAGCGGGCGGCTCACCGCCCGCCCGGATGGAAACCCTACTGGAATAATCCCGCCAAGGATAAAAAAATCGGAAAATTTGAAAAGAGGTGTATGGATCATGAAAACATGCGAATTTTCTTCAGAAATTTTTTTTCCAAAAACTTGGTTAATTTGTATTTGACAAGATGCCAAAGGTGTTTAGAGTATGGAAAACTGCTGAAAACAGCTTTTGAGCTCAAAAACAGGTCATATAAAAAACCAACAAAAAATAAAAAAAGAGTTTCGACTATGAAGGAGTCGAACCATAGAGTACCATTTCCCCATCCCGCCGCTTTACCACTGAACCATCCCACTGCTGTTTTCAATGGATCTTCAAAGCGTATAAAAGAAATGAGGACGTGGAAGCGTTCACGTATGCATTTCAGTGCAAAATCTACTGAAAACTTCTGACCCAAATTTCTCGAGTTAGCGGAGGCCGCCGCAAAAACTGAGCATATATTTGAAAATGAAATTTCATCCTCTTTCGAATGATATAGGTCTCGTCCCATAACTCCACATCTTCTGTGAGTCATTTCCTATGTAGTCAAGCAACAATTCGCTGCGTAGGCAACATCGCTTCGAGACCATGCAATATGTGTCGATTTACGAAGAGTTAAAAAATTCGACGCTTTCACACGAGTTTCGAACTTATTAAAATTTGATTCGAATAAATAAAACGAAATGGATACACAAATGTGGACCAAAAGTGGTATTTTTTCCTCATTAACCAAAAATGTTCTCTCCTGGTTGCTTCGTCTAACTCCTCGGTCATCGGAAATCTCCGAATATCTTGCAATAGGCAATTTTTCTTCAATCAGCCAAATGTTTCTGAATTATGAATGAGAAGAAATAATGTTGGACAGTTATCTCTGTTCCAAACCACATCAAAAGCGAAATTACATTCTTGAATAACTACATGGAAAACAAAAAAAACCACTCATAATATGTAACGAATGTTGGAAAAATCAGGCAGCTATGAGCGCTGAAACTGTAGAATCCGACTTGATGTTTACCACATGAGATTCAATGCGATGTACCCTCTGAGACAATGCGATGTACCCCCTGAGTATTTCAGAGATGTACCCCATGAGAAAGCGAAAAATGTACCCCATGAGATTATACCTAAAATGTACCCCATGAGACTATGTACCCCCTGAGACTTTGTACCCCATGAGCACGATGTACCCCCGATGTACCCCATTCTGATGTACCCCGGGAGTATGGGCCCCATACAACTATCGCTTTCCAAACACGCTTCCATACATCCACTAAAATCTGCTACCGTAGTGTTTTGAGTACAGTACTGCAAAACGCCAGCAATTGGGTATCCCCAAAACAACAACATGTTAACTGTGCCATTCTGAAGTGTTTTTTAATTTTCAAGAATTGCTGGAAGATTCTTACTGTAATTGGTGTAAAAAAGAAAAAGAAGAATATGCAGACAGGGACAATCATGTTCCGAAAACAAGGAAGAGACAGAATATAAAGGTCGAATCGGAAAAAAAAAAGCCATGAGACATTTTTTGTTGGAGATGTTTCTTGCTTTTTCGGTGGTGCCAAGGAGATGAGACTCATTATTTGGAAGAGGAAACATAAAAATATATTTTATCGTCTGGAGAATATGAAAAAGGAAAATCAGATTTTATTGAGCTGGTTCAACACAGAAATATGCCACGGCACAGTTTGTGGTGCCACCAGTGCAATTTAAGTTGAGCCTGGAAATGGTAATTAGGATAGTTGGGATTACTATGGTTACTCATGATTACAGCTCAATTAAACATGATTTCCTTGAGGAACTAAACGTCGGCAAGTTCCGTGTAGCTCCGCTCCGTTCTTTAACCCGTAAATTCTATTTCAATAAATTAAGTTAACACCAATTAAGGTACTAATTACTCACATTAGTAATACTTACATAGCGTTTCCCACTTTTCCATGATTTTCTGTCGATTGTTGAGCTGTTTGGAGCCATAAACGTTCTTGGTATACTTTTGCAGAAGTCATAATTGTGAAATTCACAAATTTTGAAACGAAATCGTAGGCAGCAAAGTTTTCCTGTTAACCTAATTGTGGATTATCTATTTCAATCGGATATCACTCGGTTGCAAAACAATTCAACTGTACATGGTGTCCCTTAAGTATGGAGACTTTGGTTTTTGGGTCTAAAACCTAAAAAAGAGGGGTATCATCAAAAACGAACTTTATTTTCTGATGGAAGAGATCAAGAGGAACAGGTATATGCAAAGATATTCAAAGTTTGATCCTTTGGCCTTGATGCAGGCCTTAAGAAGATCCGCAAAAAAAGTCACTGTGGGCCGCAGGTAGTTGGTGTCTATTGGACATATGAGGAGATTTCGACCACTGAGTTGCTTCAAGAAGCCCAAAAAATCAGCAAATGTCGTTAAAAGATAATACCAGGTCCCTTAAACGTTGTTTGGGATGAAGAAAGATATTCCCAAAATCTGTTATGACCTGAGCAGGTCAGACAGCTGAAGTTAGAGCTCAACTGGTCCTCAGTGGTAAAAACGGAAATCCCGATTCGGATTTCTACCAAAATATGAGTTCGAAGGCTTTTTTACTTTCCTGAGCTACTAGCCAAGTTAGCCAAAACCCATTTACTATGCAAAAAGATTCAGCACCGTTGATATCTACGATTTAACCAAATCGGCGATCGAAGCTTATTTCACGCGACTTTGGGCGATAGCGAATTGTACTTTTGGAATTTTTGGCAAAATTGTAACGGTTGCGAAACAGCAGGAAAAATAGGCGGGTTCTTAAATATGTTGAAAAAAAGTGTTTCGCAACAACCTATTACTTTTGTTGTCATTTTGTTCTAAGAACGAATGGCAATTAGGAGAGTTTGTAACTGGAAAGTTATGCAATTGCAAAAAAAAATCAGACAACTAGGGGTAGACCGAGGACTAGTGGTAACCAGAACGATATATATTTCATAACTCGCTGAAAGAGAGATATCATAATAAAACTGAGTATTAGTAGTTCCAAAACTCCAAAATTGAAGGAAATTCGAAATTTTGGTATTTAACAACTAGAACGTTTTGAAACTAACCACTCTAAATTTTGGGGTTGGTTACTAAAACTTTTTCTCGTCACAATTTGTTTCACAACTAACGGAAACAGGATTTTTGTGTTTTTGAAAAAAAGTGACGTTTCAGAATGTGAGAGTTCGGAAATAATACATAGGACGTTCTAGAACTTGTACATTAAGATTTTCAGAAAGTATGACGTTCTAGAACTTTGCAATTTCTGAATTGGAACGTTTTTTAATAGGATGAGATCATGGGGTGTTTGGAATTGTTGTCAGAAACGTTTTCGTCGATGCCTAACAATTTAGAAGAACGTGCGTTTCTGTAAGCTCAGTGGCATTTCTGATTTTTAAATCACTCTTACCAGGATCTCATCAGCACCGTTACGTTATCAGCGCCTAAAGTTTGCCACTGAACTTGGAGCATAGGACATATTAGTGTTCCTACGATGTCATCCTTTGGATCACCAGGAGTTCTATTTTTTTTTTCTAGCCCACAGCTTCAAAACCTCGACCATGTTTATCAAATTTGGCTCCTATGGAGTCGTGGGAAAAGGTGTGAGAAGAACGAGCGATCGAAGGGGGGAATGAAACGCGTTCAATGGTCCACAGTAGGAAAAATGATTGACACAATTTGACTCATGGGAAGGACACATTCTCCCTATCACAATTTAGCCCCATTGTCAGTGCATCCTCTGTCCCACCCTCTTTTTTTTGAGAACCATCACCATTCTATCTTTCTTCTTCCCACCAATTCATTCAGTACCGTTCCCATGCCGTTTCCAATACTCCGTACTCCATTTGTTGTGCTCTCAGAAATTTTCTGTCTATTGGAATTAAATGAAACGTATTGTTAAAAACCAATTCCACCTCCACCAGCTCCGATTTCATCTCCACCAGCTCCGATCCCACCTCCACCAGCTCCGATTCCATCTCCACCAGCTCTGATTCCACCTTCACCAGCTTCGATTCCACCTCCACCAGCTCCGATTCCACCTCCACCAGCTCCGATTCCATCTCCACCAGCTCTGATTCCACCTTCACCAGCTTCGATTCCACCTCCACCAGCTCCGATTCCACCTCCACCAGCTCCAATCCCACCTCCACCAGCTCCGATTCCATCTCCACCAGCTTCGATTCCATCTCCACCAGCTCTGATTCCACCTTCACCAGCTTCGATTCCACCTCCACCAGCTCCGATTCCATCTCCACCAGCTCCGATTCCATCTCCACCAGCTCTGATTCCACCTTCACCAGCTCTGATTCCACCTTCACCAGCTTCGATTCCATCTCCACCAGCTCTGATTCCACCTTCACCAGCTTCGATTCCATCTCCACCAGCTCCGATTCCATCTCCACCAGCTTCGATTCCACCTCCACCAGCTCCGATTCCATCTCCACCAGCTCTGATTCCACCTCCACCAGCTCCAATCCCACCTCCACCAGCTCCGATTCCACCTCCACCAGCTCCAATCCCACCTCCACCAGCTCCGATTCCATCTCCACCAGCTCTGATTCCACCTTCACCAGCTTCGATTCCACCTCCACCAGCTCCGATTCCACCTTCACCAGCTTCGATTCCACCTCCACCAGCTCCGATTCCACCTTCACCAGCTTCGATTTCACCTCCACCAGCTCCGATTCCACCTCCACCAGCTCCGATTCCACCTCCACCAGCTCCGATTCCACCTTCACCAGCTTCGATTCCACCTCCACCAGCTCCGATTCCACCTCCACCAGCTCCGATTCCACCTTCACCAGCTTCGATTCCACCTCCACCAGCTCCGATTCCACCTCCACCAGCTCCGATTCCACCTTCACCAGCTCCGATTCCACCTTCACCAGCTTCGATTCTACCTCCACCAACTCCGGTTCCACCTCCACCAGCTTCGATTCCACCTCCACCAGCTTCGATTCCACCTCCACCAGCTTCGATTCCACCTCCACCAGCTTCGATTCCACCTCCACCAGCTTCGATTCCACCTCCACCAGCTCCGATTCCACCTTCACCAGCTCCGATTCCACCTTCACCAGCTCCGATTCCACCTTCACCAGCTTCGATTCCACCTCCACCAGCTCCGATTCCACCTCCACCAGCTCCGATTCCACCTTCACCAGCTTCGATTCCACCTCCACCAGCTCCGATTCCACCTCCACCAGCTCCGATTCCACCTTCACCAGCTCCGATTCCACCTTCACCAGCTTCGATTCTACCTCCACCAACTCCGGTTCCACCTCCACCAGCTTCGATTCCACCTCCACCAGCTTCGATTCCACCTCCACCAGCTTCGATTCCACCTCCACCAGCTTCGATTCCACCTCCACCAGCTTCGATTCCACCTCCACCAGCTCCGATTCCACCTCCACCAGCTCCGATTCCACCTTCACCAGCTTCGATTCCACCTCCACCAGCTTCGATTCCACCTCCACCAGCTTCGATTCCACCTCCACCAGCTTCGATTCCACCTCCACCAGCTCCGATTCCACCTCCACCAGCTCCGATTCCACCTCCACCAGCTCCGATTCCACCTCCACCATCACCAGGTCCGGCCTCAACAGCTGCAGCTCCACCTGCTCCGATTTCAGCTTCAGGATCATAACTTCCAAATCCAATGGCTCCAGTTCCATTTCCAGGACCCCGGCTCTCAGAGCTCCGGCTCCCAGCTCCAGCTGGATGCCAGTTCCCATTCGAGAACTGACGATTCTCACTGTTTCTCTCTCCACTTATATGCAAAAAATCCAGGGCGATTCTTATCTCTGTGCTCAATTTTTTTTCACTCTTAAAATATTTTTTCCAAAACGTGAAATTTTCTTTCGATAAAAATTCGCGAAATAATTTTGAATTTTTTAAATTTTTGCGCCATATTATAATTGCATTCTCTCCCTGTTTCTAAATATGCACGAACGGTTTAGTGGTCGACACTGTAGACTATTAAGCTGAGTGTTTTTGGTTCGACCCTCCGTAGGATTTTCCTTTTTTTGTCGTTTTTTTCGCTTTTTGTGAAAAAGGCAAAATCATATTTAAAAGATTTTTTTGCTGCTTGTATCTGAATTTTTTCTCAAATTCAAACTTCCCGCTAGTTTCCGAGAAACGTCTACAGGCTCCACTGGCGCATCTCGCGATGCGTTACCCATTTCTCGCTCGCATAATATTCCACGGAACAAGGTGGAATCGGGGGCTGGAGGTGGACTTTCAGAAGCAGTTTTTTTAAATACCTAATTTGTTTTGTTTCAAAAGTTGAGATGAATTATTTGACAAAAAAAGACATTTTTTAGGAAGTGAAAAAAATTCGTTCATAGAGATCTCTGAATTACACCTCTGAATTTTTTTAATCTTCAAAAAACTTTTTTGTGTTCTTTGCACATTAGGATTTTAAAAATAAGAAAACTTATCAGAGGCCGTATTCATGAACATTTACCTAGGTAAATGCATTTACCAAGGAAAATATTACGTTTACTTTTTGAAATTTCTAATGGAAAAATCGATTTACACATTGGAAAAAAGCGTGATTGGTATTCATGAAAATTAGTTTCCTATTGGTAAATGATTTACTACCTTGATTTTATTTACCAACGTTGGGGGTAGAAAAATAAGATTTTCCTTACTGTTTTGATGAATTTTAAGATGTTAAAGTTGAAATTAGGAAACTGGAATTTGGAATTTTAATGAAACTGAGAATAATATAAAGACAGATACGATATTAACATAAAAATAATGGAAAAATAAACTTTAAAAAATTGAAACCCCCAAAAAATCACTTCCAAAATTGATGAGACCGTTCCCGATTTATGTTTTAATGTTTGACCAACACTAAATTATCTCAATGTTTCATTTTTCCTGACATTTTCTAGAGGTGAGACATAACTGGCCATGAGTCAATGCAACTACCGTAAAAACTCTAATAGAACGACACCCGGATCGTCCACTTTGAGCCTATATATCTCATTT